TAAACTCAAGACTCTGGTGAGTACTTACCTGATCCAGAAAGTGAATAATCAGTGCCGTTTTTGTGCCAGTTTCTCACCACGTTGTTGCGCATATTGAATGCCATCTGAACACTATAACAACGTATTACACAAAACTATGTTGCTGATCAACAACAGTATGCAATGCAAAACTGGCACAATGACCTTCATTTCAGCAGTTTTAGCTCCCCAAATGGACTGGGAGGTGACAGTTATTGTCACAACCTTTGCTAGATTCTTACATAAATGTAAATTGTAATTCCCAACACGCTGCACAGGATATCCTGCAACAGATCCACAGTGGCCACCAGGACACAAAGAAGTGCAAGCTTCATACCAATCCAGTGTCTGCTGGCCAGGGATATACAAAGAGATTGAAATCATTGTAGCAGCTTGCCAGTTTGCCAGAAGTACCAGTGATCACAGCAACATGAACCCACGACAGCCATGGATGTGACCTGGAGTCAAGGGAGAGTTGTAGGGAAATCCACTGCCCCTAGGCCTGCTCATATACACCTTGGAAACTGACAGTGGCAGACACATGAGACACAACAGACTCCATCTCAGACCAACCTCACCCGAGAGCACTAAACCAGCCTCAGATCGCAGAATAGTCAAACAACCCCAAAGACTTGACTTGTGAACCAAACTATCGGGTGAATAAAGCCTATAGAAACTTAACTGTGCAAATTAATACAATGGAATTTAAGGAATTAAAAAAAAAATAAATAAATAAATAAATAAAAAAAACAAGGCAAAAGAACTCAACATATAATTATGCACAGGACATTCTAGTCACCGAAAACAGGAAGGAAAATAATAGTCGCTAGCTCATGAACATTTATGTGTAAGTTTCTTTTTATTGTATATAGTGAACAGCACCCTCAAGTGTCATCCCTTATATACCTATGTTAATCCATGAAAAAAATGGCTGCCAGTAGATATTAAAAGTCAGTTCAAAGCATGTTAAGACAAGTCTCTGTCCTCTATATATCACCATAGACCATCACTACGCATGAGTGTGCCCTGAAATTTTGTTTACACTTTTCATTCTGTCATTAAGCGAGTGAGCTTGAGAACACTTCAATCCAATATTTTTTGAGTTATCATGATCCTTTAAATGAAAAGAGAGAGAATGTAGCTCCAGTTTCGTCAATCCCGAGTCATTCAAAGAATTGACGAAATCAGCTTTCACTCGAATGAAAATGGAAGTCATTGGTATGAATGACAAAAAAAGATGTCATGCTATCGTCAAAAATCTTGGAATGCTGGGCCATCGCTGTGGAAAAACTTAAGTCCAGAACATCGTCAATACAAAAAGCGAATGGATTGAGGAGTTTGAGGGGAACGTTCCCCTTGATCAAATGACAACAGTTCAAATCACCAGCAATGAAGAGATCAACACTCTTGGAGTCTTGGTCAACGAGTGGTTCAAAGATTCCACTGCAAGAATGTTCGCAGTTTCTGGCCCTCTTCTTCAGGAGAAAGCCCTACAGCTTGGAGTTTCCAACTTCAAAGCATAAAACGGGTAGCTGGAGGCATTTAGAAAGCAGTACAGCATCATTTAGGGAAAATTGAAATGTGTGAGTGATGGGGTAGATAGTAAGACAGTTGAAGAGCGGCGAAAGAAAGTTCAAACCTCTGTGTGGGATATGACCTCTGCAACATCTACAGTATGGATGAGACTGGACTTTTCTTCAAGGCTTCAATGGACTCCACTTGTCATGTCAAGGGAGACGACTGTTCTGGTGGAAAATGCTCAAAGGAACGTCTCAAGTCATATTGTGCTTAAACGCCCTTAGGGAAAAAGTCCTTCAGCAGGCTAGAGGGAGCTGATCTTCCTGTCAAATACCATGCAAACAAGACAGCACGGATGACTATCAATGTCTTCGAACTGTTCCTGAAAACAGATTGACCAGAAGATAGGGCGTCAGAAAAGGAAATTCTTATGTTGCTGGACAGTGCAACTTACCATCCTCACCTGGAACAGAAGAACATCAGGCTTGTATGCTTCCCCCAAAACACAACCTCGGTCACGCAGCTAATGGACCAAGGCATAATCCAGGCACTTAAGTTTAAGTTCCGCAAGAAGCAGCTGAGCATCATAAACTACAGCATGACAAGAATTGATGAAGACTAGCAGTGTCCTTCAAGTCATTTATTGGATTGACCAGTCATGGAGGGGTGTAGATGCAGTAACCATCCAGAAGTGTTTCAAGAGATGTGGGGTCGGAGATAAATTGTCCAAGGAAGAAGAGAATTTTGCAGCAGAACAAGATGAGGCTCTGGAATCTGTAGATGTCATTATAAGATCTCCCCACTGTTGATGAAGGACTGGCAACAACTGATAGTTCAATAGTTCGGCTCTGTCCCTGGCTCATCTCCGATACCGCCTTCACGATATTGGAAGTGATGAGGAAGATGACAGTGAAGAGTGCCTGTGTCGACAAGTGTCAAAAACTTCGAGCAGTTTGCGGCCCAAGTTGCGGATTTGAAGATGTTCACCATCATGAAAGGTTGAAGAAGCCTCATTGATGCATGCGTGGACATGCAGGAGAAGATCACAGCAGAAAGCCTCTGTTGTCAAGCTGCCACCCAGTCATCACTCCTTAACTTTTTCAAGAAAACCTGAGCACATGAGACTGAACCCCAAAGGCCCAAGTTAGGAAACACCCAACCAAATAACTCTTTTAAGAGCCAAAATTAAACGACACTCAGAGAGAAACGTCCCCATCGCTGTGCTTGTAATGTTTGGGTCTTAAAAACAGTAACTGTCCAGAAGTTGTAAAAACAAAAATGCATCTACTTGTATATGCACCTATATTTTTTAAATTGAAATGAAAGAAAAGCAAGACCAATTGTGAATACATTCTACAAAACGCCACCTTCACTCATATTGTTTATGAAATGGTCGCTATAAAAGGCAGGTTAACGTCAACGCATGGAGGGCCTTGATCAAAATCTTATCCGACCTGTACAGAAAGACCACCTGTCTATAAAGACCGTATTCCCTGCATCCCTTGAGTGGTGTTTCTATTATACAGGTTTGACTGTACATTGAAATTGATCTTAACCAACTGTTTGCAACAACTTCAACTAATTATAACTAAAATGTACGACCTGAGATACTGGGCGCATCATGAGCAGGGGTTTAGTTAAAAAAAATAAATAATAAGTGAATCATAGATGTTATTCTTATAGCCATACATTTATATCGGTAGCTGACAAAAATTCACACACAATACAAATCAGACATAAACATGGCCAGAAAAAACGTAATATTGTAAACTTTGGATACAAACTACCTTTCTTCGGTATTGCAGTTGGTGTTCCAATGCTTGCATTCAGCAACAGTTTATATTCCACTCACCAACTGGCCAAATTCTTCATCCATGACAAGATGCCCACTTTGACAGACCTCGGCCAACCCAAAAAGCATTTGTAAGGGCACAAATTCATGTCCTCAACCAATCTGCAGTGTCTACTCTGTTATGGTTTCTTAAAACAATAAATATTCAGAGCAGCAGCTATCCACTACAAAATTACAGCTCTGAGTATAGCTCTCTATTGTTACAGAATTTCTGGCATGGTCTAAGAATTTTTTGCTCAACTGCCATGAATGAGAAAAAATAGAGGAAACATCATGGCAGCCTAAAGACATCTGTGGGCTGCCACAGTAAGAATTCTTGCCCAGTAAAACCTCATTCATACTGAATAATATTCTTACAAATGGGTCATTAGGTAGACATTTTGTGATAAATTTTTCAACCTTAGGGAGACATCGGTCATTAGGGAGACATGCCCGAGCTACCAGAATTTTACCATCCAAATTTTGAGATGATGGATTACGGTCTAAATTGAAAACATACAAAATTTAGCTTAGATCAGATTAGGGAATATTTAATTATGGGACAGTAAAGTTTGTGCATGTACTGATGGGCATGTCTCCCAAGTCACCCATTTTTGGTGAACAGTAATATACAGTACTGAATAATAACGGTTGCCAATGAAAACCTATGCCTTCACGAACAACTAAATGCAGTGTACGGAAAAGGTGTCTCTTGACATTAGAGTAGCATTTTTTATTAACAATACGGCCTGTTACGTATACTGAAGTTATGGCCCTAGCAAGGCCTGCAGGCCTCATATTAAACAATTAACGCTTCAAATTCTCCAGCTTGATCAACTTTATTTATTTTATTTATTTATTTATCTATTAGCCCACACCCAACAGCAGAAATACTGCCAATTACTGCCAAAAAACATTGTAATTTAAATTGTGACGTACATAATTGCTAAACAAACACACTAGACAAAAAAAACGGATATTTATGTGCATATATGAATAAATAGAGAATACACAAGCCTAAGAGCCTTGGTCAACACTGATTCTTTACCCAACATCAAAGCGAATGACATCCAGTTTGATATTGCTGTAACATTGAACTTGAAGCTGGGCCTGTTTAAACTTTGAGCCCTGGAGCCATTTTATTGGTTCCCACTGGTTCAACTTCGAACCTAGGTCTAGGCCTGCAGCCAGAATTGTACAAGTATCAAAGGCCTACCCTGCAAAATCTTTCAGTTCTTGCCCACTGCTGGAAAATCTACATGTTTTGTCTCCACCTCAAGTAAAACTATAAGGCTGCACTGTACACAGAAACAACTCCATAAAACAGGCCAACATCCATGGCTCTTTTTGGAAAGCTCTCATCTGACCATCCTGGCGGCCTGTATGCGTAATGTCCCTCACTGTTTGCATAAACATGTGTAAATCCTAGGATCTGGTTATCTTTGGCACAGCCAATTAGAGAACACCAATGAGCTACCCGGAATGAAAGTGGACCGAAGCAGGGAAGAAGATTTGGCTCGGGACACTGGAAATCGTCCCACATATCCTTGGTGTTGTTACATGTTGTTACAATTATTTTGACTGCTTCCCAACACTATCTCACAGACAGAAGCTTCATTAAAATGTTCCTTACCTGGAATTGAGCAGTATAGCCCTGGCACAAACTACTACTGTTATGGCTGAAACTCTTGCTCAAAACAGGACGTTGAGGTAAAGCTGGCTTTTGACTGTAAAAGTTACGAGAAAAAGCAATATCTTGCAATTTATACAAAAAACATACATCTGCATCATTTGAACACAAAAATTTATTTCTGATAGATACTCTTTTTATTGAGCTTGGGTTTTCTCTTCCATGGATAGAAACAGATGGTTAAGTACATTTTTGGCATCTTATGTTGTTAATATCGTTTTTGATTTCGTGATATACCACTGCACTGATGCAGAAGATGGTTCAGGTATGTAAAATGTTAAAAGGTAAACTGTAACAAATATCTGGGAAAATATGGCCGCAGTGACATCAGAAATCTCCCTCATAGAGCCACTACTAATGCACGTTTTTGCCATGACCATAAGGGGAGAGTCTACTGCACTTATCCTACCCCTAGAGAGTACAAAGTGAATTAGTCATCTGCAGAATTATGGATGTAAAAGCCATTAATGTGAGGCCCAGCATGTGAACCAATGGGTATGTGCTCCATTCGTTTACTTTTCTCTTCCTACTTCAAAGTAGCGTCACACTTTGATTCTCTTAGTCACCCCTAATGCAGATTTGTACCAAGACAATGAGGTGGGCGAGAGATGTTACTGTATTTATACAAAATGGGACCAAAAAATTTTAATAATTAGAATGATTTTGTGTTTCAATTTTCCAGAATCCTAACAACTCCTTTGCAAATAAACAGTAGATATATGTATTTTTATGCTGAAAAGTCGGCACAGAATAACCACTTCTCATTGCCACTGACAGACAGGATGCAGAATACATGGCATTCGTAGACTGTGAGGCAGTGGGCGGGCTACTGTGTGAACTCTTGATGAATGAAACATGCCTTGAAGGGAAGGATGCATTAGTGGTAGACCAATGGTAGAGAAAAGCACAGTATGCAAACTTGTAAAAGACATTTTGCGTACATGGACCATATATGGTACATATTGAGTCTGTTGATCTACAATGCAGGGTTGGTGATTTTTTGTTTAATTTCTAAAATCAAATTATTTTAAAAGTAAACCAGATTTGTTAATTTAAATCAGCTTTTAATTCTTTCTTTACTTAGAGGAAGTTGGCATAGTTACACGTATTTATTCCAGAGCAAGCAAATTAAGCCATACGTGTGTTACTCACATTCTAGCAATAACCACCTTCAACATTGTCTATAAGTTCAGGTGAAATACACGTGGAATACAAGTGCCTGTAGAGTCCAAGTTTTGAAGAATATGATACGACTATATGAGATTAGCACCACTGAAAGTAAGTCCATATCTTTTACCAATTTTAGTTAACATAGCAGTTCCCCATTTAACCAGAAGCAAGGGGTAAAGTAATTTTACATGTACACTCAACAATGAAGACATAAATTAAGCCTTTCACTTAGTGCAAAAAGCAGCGGGAACATATGATTGATTTTATATTTATATTTGAATATCAAAATTATCAGATTTCAATTACTTGTAATTTGACAACTGATGGCATCATGATGATATGACATCACTCTCCAATAATACAGATCTCTGTAGGTCTCCAATAATACAGATCTCTGTAGGATCTTTACTTAAGTTTGACTGAATTACCAGTTTGTCTTCTGTCAAAGGTCAGGGGTGTAATAAAACATGTTGAAGGTTTAACTAACTGTGACTATAGTTCAACCTATAAGGCACTTCTGTTGCAGACCGAGAGCAATGGTCAATATTAACCTCAATATCGCGACCAAATTTATGACCCACTCTTTGGTCGCGATATTGCTGTCTATATTCGCAACCAAAATTAACGACTTGCTCTTCAGTCACAAATATTGAAGCCAATATTTGAAAAAAAATCATAACCCGTTGTATCTACAGTTGCAAATATTACTGCGATTTTTTTTCCAGCAAGCCAAGTAGAGAGAGAAGTTGCTCACTATAGACACAGCAATGCTTTTTAACATTGTGCCCCCTGCATTGTGCCAAAACTGCCCAGCCGAATATCGACTTGAGACAAAGCCGAAAAATGTGGGTCATTGTGCGTGCGTTTGAAGAGTTCATTTCAACCTAGCTTGCTGGGAAAAAATTCGTGGCAATATTTGCAACCGGAGATACGAATCATGAATGTGGTTGCAAATATTGATGGCAATATTCGGGACCAGAGAGTGAGTCATGAATTTGGTCGTGATTACTGGAGTCAATATTTGCAACCGAAGAGCTGGTCGTAAACCTGGTCACAAATAAAGACATCGATACTGACGATAGGTGATGTCCCACCAGGGCCTCCATAGTCAGGTAATTTTATATATGCAACAAAAACTGAACAGCTCAATTTACTCAATCACTGAAAAAAGTAAGATGTTGGAGCTCATGATTGATTTTTAGTGTTCCTAGTCTCTCCATATGGGGACAGACAAAGGCTGGTTAAGTCTCAAAGCTACATGACAAAAACCTTACTGTTAGATTTACTCTTAAAAATTCATTTGGCCTCATTGATTGTAATAGTGCCCCTTTAAAGTCTTGTGACTTATCATCCGATGACATTATGGTCAAATCAGGTCAATCTGGGTCTGAAACCCTTTGCTCTCAAGCTACACAGAACATGTCAAACCAATTGCACATGTAATTTGCAACATGTAGTGCTTAAAAGAGTGTCCCTTTAAGGTCACGTGACTTATCACATGATCACGTCATTATCACACGTCAATCTCGGTCTGAAATCTTTCCTCTTCGAGCTACACACAAATTTTGAACTGAATCGGACATGTAATTCACGAGATATGGTGCTTTAAAGAGTGTCCCTTTCAGGTCAGGTGACTTATCACGTGATGACGTCATCATCACATCAGGTCAATGTAGGTCTAAAACCTGTCCCCTTCGAGCTACACACAAAGTTTCAACTGATTCAGGTATGTACTTCGTGAGATATAGCACTTTAAACAGTGCCCCTTTAATGTCACGTGACTTGTCACCTGATGACGCCATTATGACGAACTTGGACAAAAACCGTTTGTAGCTTGTGGCTTTAGTGTATGCCTCTGACACGAACTCAGATCGATAACAGTGTAAAAGCAGTCTTCCTGTTGGAATACATGTAAAAACCTGTATATTTAGGGTCAAATAAAATATTCAAAATTCCAAAATAAATCACGTGATGACGTCATCATGCCGAGTTTCTTCTAGGACCTACCTGACATGAATATCTAAAGGTCTACCAAGTTTGAAGTCAATCAGATAAACAAAACTATCAAAGTCCCCTGTCACAAAAAAAGAGTCTACCAAGTTTGAAATCAATCAGATAAATGAAACTATCAAAGTCCCCTGTCACAAAAAAAGTGTCTGAAAAAGGAAAAGAAAAAAAATCTGAACGAAAGCAATACTGCTTCAGCAGTGATGCCGAAGCAGCTAAAAATGAAAAAATGGAGGATGAAATCCATCTCAGTGCTGCTCAATGAAAGCAGAGTATGAACATTTGCCACTCAGGGAAGACACTTCAGTGCAAAAAAATTAAAAAACCACTCTGACATCCCAAAATCATACCCTTGTTGAATGAACACATGTGGTAATCACGAAACCGAACAAAACTTGGTTATGAGTATGCCACTTTGTTTCACTAATGCCACTTGAGAGTAATTGGAAGAGACAACCCGAGGCACAAGTGATATACCACCCCAATTCAGGCCACATTTATCAGACAGTCACAGTAAACAAACATACGCCATGCTTATGTCAGAGAATTCATGCCCAGACAGTGTGTAGCCAAGGTAAACAGCAACATAAATAAAGTTTCTTCAAATCATAGAATTGAAGCAGCAAAATGGAAACAACTCTTGACGATATTAAAAAATGCACACACAAGTACACCCACGTACATTCTGCCCTGCCTTTAGTATCTTATGAATGCGAAATACGTTGTGAACCAACCATTCTGGAACAAGCAGTACACGCAATGCACATATGCAAGTGTTGCAAGACAACTTTTTGAAATTATTGCTTCAAAGGAAGCATACCCAACTGTGGTCCTGTCGAATTGGGAGAATAGTGTGTTTTGAAGTACAGTAGAGATTTCCAAATGCAAGTCTACCGTTGAGAAGGATCTTGTGGGATTGGAGTACGCCAGAACGTCATATTGCAAATTGCTGAAGGTAGGTTCCATAGGAAAATGGGTGGGGGTGCCTTCAGGGGTCTGATTCAGCACTGGATATGTCAGATGTGAACCATGTGAGGCGGCTTAAAGCAGTATAGCATGACATGTCACGACAAGGCACAGCCAGTTGGCAAAAGGAGATCTTACTGACATTGTCGATGCACTTGATCTCGCTTCCAAAGGCTAGAAAACCAGCATGTAAAGAGATCTTTGGATAAGGGGAGGGCCTGTGTGTGTTGATTACTGACCAGTACGGGATATTCATGGCTTTAATAGGCGAGGACTCTCGACAAGATGAGGTATTGTTTTAGAGAAACATGAGTGACTAGTTCAAGGCTTGTAATCAAAGTGTCGTCAAGGCAATGAAAGACCATGGTAAGAAATCTAGGAGAAATGCCCAAGTCCTCCTCGTGGGCATGGAACAAGAACTCAGCCAAGAGGAGGTGAAGGATATGCAGCAAATACCAATATGGGACCACACGGTCAAATCCTTGAGTGCTGACTCAAGCTGAGGAGTCCTGTCAGCAACAGTATGATGGGACCAGTTCCTAGACAAGCCATCTTATCTTTGGTCGTTGCCAGTGCATCGGGTACCTCAAAATAAGTATGATAATCACCCGAAGGGAAATCGAAGAAAAAAAAAAGACTTGACACTTGAAGTCGGCGCTTCAATGAGGGGTAAGTCTGATCATCCTGTGGGGGGTTGCGAAAAGGGATTCCCAGAACCTTAATCATCTCATGCTGAAGGCAGGACTAAGGAGTGAAATCATCCAATAGAGACTATTATGGGGCTGACCCGAGTCAGGAACATGCGATGTTGGAGGCTGGAAGGAATGATCCTAAGCAGATGTTGGTTGCAAAGGCCTGACTGGATGCAGTGGGGTGTGACGAGGATGCTAGTGG